TCACCATACACTTTGCCAGGTATACTCAACAGACTTATCCCCCTATAATTTTTGCACTCTCTTTTATCCCCTTTGCCTTTATACAAAGGAAACTTGCATGCTCTCTTCCAATCCCTAGGTACCTTACCCTCTTCCATACATTTATTAAAATAATTGCACCAACCACTCCAAAACTATATCCCCACCTGCTTTTAACATTCTATCTTTATCCCATCAATCCCGGCTGCCTTACCCCCTTTCATTTTACCTACTGCCTCACGAACTTCCCCTACACTCACAACTGGCTCTTCCTCACTCCTACAAGATGTTGTTCCTCCTTGCCCTATACACGAAATCACAGCTTCCCTATCTTCATCAACATTTAACAATTCCTCAAAATATTCCCTCCATCTTCCCAATACCTCTAACTCTCCATTTAATAACTCTCCTCTCCTATTTTTAACTGACAAATCCATTTGTTCTCTAGGCTTTCTTAAGTTGTTAATCTCACTCCAAAACTTTTTCTTATTTTCAACAAAATTTGTTGAAAATAAGAAAAAGTTTTGGAGTGTGTGTGTGTGTGTGTGTGTGTGTGTGTGTGTGTGTGTGTGTGTGTGTTTCCATGCATGTATGTGAGGGCATGTATGTGTGTTAAAACACCTTCGTCACAGATACATAATTTCAATGAGACAGTTATGATCTATTGCCTAAATCATGTCACCGGCTGCGCCTCTTTACGATTGCACTTTTCTATCAAGTGCGTTCTGTATGTCACTTTATAATTCACTATAACTGCTCGATGGACACTGCGAAGAACTGTGCCTTGTGAGGATACCTTATTTATCTGTTATTGGTTCCCCTTAGCATCGCCGCCACTACTCGCTCCTCGGTCCTGGATAGGAAGATCTATTGAGAGAGCTAGGACAGTGAAAAACAGTGTATACTGATTGAAAGTAGATGTTTGTAAGAAATACATTTCTCCTAAGTGTTCATTAGTTAAAGGTAAAACCACGAAATCGTAGTAACACGATTGCAAAGAAACCACGGTACGGGTAGGGTTAGAACTCATGGTCCGAGTGAGTCGTTGTAGCTAGCTGGTCCAGTGGCTTACACACTGGCTTAGACGTTTACGACTCACTTGTCATGGGTTCTAACTCCACCCGTACCGTAGTTTGTAAGACCACATCTTTGGGGCCTAGTCCCTGGACCCACTATATGTGTATGTAATGTTTTGACTACCGACCCCAGGATGGGTATGGGGTGCATAATAAACTTACTAAACTCAATCATTTCGGTGCTATTTGCACTGCTAAAGTTATAGTGCAATACGACGTGAAACTATCATATTTCCAGTCATTTATCAATCAATGAGCGCGAAATAATTTATTAGCTTGCTAGAACCGAGCCTTGGAAAGTGGCGATCTTTTCTTTTTTCTAAATAAGGTGTATAACGTAGCTGCGGGCGGCCAGCGGATGGTCAGTCCGTGACGCCTCATTTCATTAAGACCCGTGACAGGAGACACTGTGTTGTTTACTAAAGAAACCACCACCACCACTTAGAAAGGTTCATTACCTGCAGTGTTCTTGTAACCAGAACTGGCGACTGCCTGATTAACCTGATCTTGTTGCTGCCAGCAGTCTTCATTATAACTTCTCCCCTTAGGGGTGTAGGAATGGCTCGAGGAAGTAACATAATTGTAGAGGCGCACCTGGTACTTAACGAATTAGTAGAAAACTTAAGGTTCGACCTGAAGAAGTTGATTCGTTTTGTCAGCTAAAGTTAAAGGGCTCTGTTTTTATTACTCCAATTCTCCAATTATAAGTCAGTTGAACAATGGACACAGTTATATTTTTGGCCTATGGTATAAAGGCTTTTGTTTTAGTAACCAAGCCTAACCTAATGAACCCAACCTAAAGCTGCCTAACCAGACTCAAAATTTAACTCCTGGTCTTGGTTAGGTTAAGTCGGGTTCGTTAGGTTAGGATTATTTACCAAAATACTTCTGTCCCATACGCCCGAACTACAGTTGTGTGCATTGCACAACCAACGTAATACCGGAGAATTTGCGTAACATTCTTTCTATAAGCTCAAGAAAGCCACTGAATTAAATAACTATTATTATGCGTGATATTGCGAGGGAAGCATCTAATGAATGGTGTTCTTTGAATTTTTTCCAGATTTCAGATTTCCAGCAGGACAGACACTAACTGGCAGTACCAGGGTAAGCATAGTTAGCGCCATCTGTTGGTCTTGTTTGTAGTTACAGGCGTCTCCTGGATCTTCCGTTATTGGGTTTGGTGTTATGTCTTGTTAGTACATTACCTTCACCTGGTGTCTGTTTAGACGCTATTGGAGGGAGCGCCTCTCCTTCAGCTTCTCTCCGGACAATGTAAAGTAATCTAGCAGTGAACCTGATCTTTGTGATATTTTGACCTATGTAATCTTAAACGTAACTGTGTTAGTGTTTATAGCAAAGATTTGAGGCATTTCAATCCCCGCCCTTCTTTTCGTTTCGTTCTCAAGGACTGAGGCTCATCGTTTGATCAGCAGGCAACCTCTGTCTCTGAATCATCTGCAGCTGTCTTCTGGTAAGCTGCAGAGGAGGCTTGGGTGCTAAGTAAAAGAACACAAGTGCAACTAATGTGACATTTTATTGTAGCGAGGTTTTGCTCTCCAGGAGCTCTGTCAAGCCGTTACGCTTGGGTATTGAGGTTGGAAAGAGATTGATGAACTCTGAGTGATATGTCTCTGCAGAGTGAAAAGTCAACTGCAGCATTCATCTGACGTTTCTAGAGACTTTCTGTATACATCTGTTGGAGTGTGCTGCCATCAGGGTTAGTTGGTTAGATACAAGAACATTCCAGAGATGTATAACCTGGTTTAGCGCTTAACTTAATAATAATAATAATAATAATAATAATAATAATAATAATAATAATAATAATAATAATAATAATAACAATAATATAATATCCGCTAATTCTTGTTGTTTACAGCATGAGGTACTTTTTTCTGTATGTCATACCACTTTAAAGGTTACTGTGTATTTCCTAAGGGATAAGCTCCTCTGGAAGACTCAGAGGCCAGATACACGTCTTGCCTTTTTCTTCTTGAGCATCAAGGCCATCTAAAAGCCTGTACCTTTTAGTTTGTATTATATTTAAATGTTTCAATGCTTTGAGTTTTCGTTCTCTATACATTTTATCCAGTTTTGTTTATAGTTTAAATCTTCATTTTTCAATTTATGGCAATTTTCATGACAGGTAACTTTTTTCCTGACTACTGAAAAAGCTGTAGCATTTTCCTGATTTACCTAAGGCTGAAATTATTACAGAAGGTGGGTATAAGGATAAGTATTTATTGTAAACGATGTTTCGCTAAGAATCAAACTTCATGAAACTCAATCCTGAGCGACACATCGTTTAAAAATTGCCGGGTTGGCTGTTTTTTTTAGATTCAACGCCCCATTAACTACACGGTCATGAAGGCTGTATCTAACCTGTGTCCCACCAGTCATAAACACCTGAAAGAATTTAAACAGAGTTTAATAAAATATTGCCAATTATATTTGAATACATTATACCTAAATATAGTATAACAAGTTGAATACCTACTGCTATATCTCCTTTAAGTGAATATACGCTGATGCTATAAAGCATACGCATCAGATATACGCCTCAGAATAAATACAAAAGGGAAAATATCGACAGGCGGTACAGATCAGTATACAAACCCGTCGACATTTATGTAATCATTAGATATTTTTCTTCATTTCTTAAAATTAAACATTTTATTAATTACACGTGATTTACAGATTAACTCATATTTATCTAACAACGGACTACAGTCGCTACATAATATGAGATCAATGGTGCTGGGTAATACAGGGTGATGTACTGTTTAACAAACAGTGTGTAGAGTTATGGAGGGACTGAAAATTCTGCTTCTGGAAAAGGAGAGTCTTGGAGGCAGTTAGCACATGTTTCGCCTTACTTCGTATCGTCACTACCGGTTTTTGCAATGGAGATATGTGTCCTTCAATGCTTTGTGCGTGTAGGTGTCTCATGCTCACAGTCTCACAGCTCACAAGCGGTGAGCTGCGGCTCACAGGATGAGAAACGCTGCAAGTCAGTCCCTAAAGCAGGGATCAGGGTAAGCTCTCAGTGTACTGTATATGCATTGAGAGATACACATCTTTCGATGTATATACCCTGCCCGCCCACAAGGGGGAATGAAAACCCAGAGGTCCATGGCAAATGTAGGAGCTCCGAGCCATATGCTAAAAACCTGTGTGGGTCCTCCAGCGCAAGGAATGATTAAGACTCCAGCTTCGGTCGGATAAGAGCGAGACAGACTCTGGCCCAGTCAGCCAGGCTTCCTGCCCTGGGAGAGTCACAACAAGGGCAGTCTGATGATAATTAATTGCGTTAGCGCCGCGAGCCAACCTCCCGCAGCGCCTCCTTCCCAGTGTCGTGCTCCTCGGGTGAATTAGTAGAGATGAGCAGGAAGGCTGACGATGCAGATGTAGAGTCAGAGGAGGAGGAGAAAGAAAGTAGAGGAAGAGGTGAGAGTGGGTGAGAAGAGAACGAGAGAGGGGCAGTTAGAGGTAATAGGTCGTGGATTAGTCTGAGGACATCGGACAAGCAAGGGAATGGAGGTGGAAAAGAGAGGAGGATAAGCAATGGAATAAAGAACGTACGACGTGTGTGTCACACATAGCATTTACGAGTCATGTGCATGTAGACGGACGGCTGATTGAAGCTTCCCACTAGAATACTGGAAAAACTCAGTTTTAACGATGTTCATTTGCAACAGTTCAGTGTTGTGTGTCAGTCAGAGATATGTGTGTGTGTGTGTGTGTGTGTGTGTGTGTGTGTGTGTGTGTGTGTGTGTGTGTGTGTGTGCGTGTGTAGGTCATACCACATTCTAAGTTACTGGTCAACACTTATGTCCCTGGTGTTAACAGTCAGCCAAGGTTACACTCTAGTTTACTTCTCCTGTCACACTGGGGTCACATTACCTGCTCTTATCATTTGCAAAGAAGGTGTCTGGAACCCATATCTTCTCGGCGAAGTCTCCTGGAAGGGTGAGAAGCTCGTCGCTGGAACTGAAGGCCAGTCTCTCGTCCTTCCAGTACTGGTTGAGGTACATGGTGATGGTGTAATCCTGCAAACATAGAAGGAAATAACCTGTCACAGCATTATAAAGACACAAACCTGAGAGCTAGATTACTGAATTGCATTTACAGGGAAATCATATAAGGAAACCATATAAGGAAGCCTGAAAGGGTCAACTGAGCTCCTCTGGAACAAGAGACAATCAAATTTGATTCAAGAAAGTAGCTACAGTTTTGTGATAAGTTGGTTGCACTTCATTTTAAAATCGTAAGGAAAAAAGCTGACACAATTTAAAATGTGATGGTGGTCTTCCTGAAGGGAGGTAAGAGAATACGTGGGTCGCAGTAACGTGACGGCTTCTTGGTTCACAACCAAACAACTCAGGTTCAATTCCAGGCAAGTCGAGAGGTATAGGCAAGTTTCCTTTGTTACCTTTACTCAGCGAGCAGTAAATAGGTACACACATTTGAGCCCATTATTGTGAAAGCATCAACAGGATGGTATTATATCCTAGATAAGGCTGAACTTTGATACGAACTGAGGTACGATAACAACTTTTGCCTTGTAATGAGCAGAGGCAGAATATTTTCTCTTGATCTGTGAAGGAGCAGAGGCAGAACAGCAGCTCTTAGTCTTACAACGAGCTAAAGATGACTCCTATTGGCCTGTAAGTGAGCTGAGGCTGGATCAAAGAGCTTAACCTGTAACTGAGCTGAAACAGGATAGCATTTCTTAGCTTGTATCTTCATTACCGTAAAAAATCGAGATTGGATAATTAAGCGCTGTAGCAAAGGAACGGAAAACTAAATCCCAGTTTTTCCAAGGTCGTGAAAATTTGCCACTCTTTTTTTTAAAACGATGTATAAATCTAAAGAAAATTTGATCGACTTTAAATCTGGTACAACTGTGCCAAGATGTACACTGAAGTATATTTAAATTTTGGTTAAGGTGTGTGTTTGAAAACACTGGTAAATGTGGAAAGATGTTGAAATACCTTTCTTTGGAGATTAACGTTGTGATGATGATGATAATAATAATAATAACAATAATAATAATAATAATAATAATAATAATAGACGCTTTATATTAACTCATTAGACAAAAGCGTAATCTACCTCAATAAAAATGTTATTCAATATATTTTCCCTCAAGCATTTATTGGTGGTCAGACTCCCGACTCTCGTCATATAAGGGGATCGGTCCCCGTAAGGAGGATCGAGCTTCCATTGTTTCAGACAATTACAAAATACAACACGTACTGTTAATAAATCATATTTCAGGAATTTATAAATGAGGCTATTATTACCGTCTCGTGATGCTGACTTGTTTCTCACATCCTTCTCTTCGTTTCTATCCAAAACATGTTAGTTTCGAAGAGCGAAACTCTGTCCCAGTAGAAACGTGCTCTGTGTCTGCCTCTTTTTTTCACTCCATTCGCCTCTTACCTGGTTACCTGGAGGTTATTCCGGGGATCAACGCCCCCGCGGCCCGGTCCATGACCAGGCCTCCCGATGGATCAGGGCCTGATCAACTATACTGTTACTGCTGGCCGCACGCAGTCCAACGTACGAGCCACAGCCCGGCTGATCCGGCACTGACTTTAGGTATCTGTCCAGCTCTCTCTTGAAGGCAGCCAGGGGTTTATTGGCAATTCCCCTAATGCTTGATGGGAGGCTGTTGAACAGTTTTGGGCCCCGGACACTTATGGTGTTTTCTCTTAGTGTACCAATGGCGCCCCTACTTTTTATTGGCGGCATTTTGCATCGCCTGCCCAGTCTTTTACTTTCGTAGGGAGTGATTTCTGTGTGCAGATTTGGGACCATTCCTTCCAAGATTTTCCAAGTGTAGATTATGATATATCTCTCCCTCCTGCGTTCCAACGAGTACAAGTCAAGTGCTTTCAAGCGTTCTTTTTGTATTTACACACCAGCTGTCCGCTCTATTTGACTTATACACCAGCTGTCCGCTTAATTTACCTTATACACCAGCTGTCCGCTTAATTTACCTTATACACCAGCTGTCCGCTCTATTTGACTTATACACCAGCTGTCCGCTTAATTTACCTTATACACCAGCTGTCCGCTTAATTTACCTTATACACCAGCTGTCCGCTTAATTTACCTTATACACCAGCTGTCCGCTTAATTTACCTTATACACCAGCTGTCCGCTTTATTTACCTTATACACCAGCTGTCCGCTTTATTTACCTTATACACCAGCTGTCCGCTTTATTTACCTTATACACCAGCTGTCCGCTTGATTACCTTATACACCACCTGTCCGCTTGATTACCTTATACACCAGCTGTTCGCCGGAACTCAATCTTGAAATCTTCCACAACACAAATTCACTCAACACAGAATGCTGCTGCAGTACTAGCCAAAGAAACACTTGCAAAACATCTGCTACTTGTGTTAGAACCACAACACATGCACATAACACATCGTTTATCTATGGTTACATACAAACGCCTTATAAGTTACCATTTTATTTGTTTAGTAACTAGTTAGAAGACACACAAACAACACCAAAATCCATAACTAGTTTGGAATCTTGACAGGTATTGGTAAATTCTTTCATTAAGGTTCTTGTCGCTGGAAAAAATTCTTTCATTAAGGTTCTTGTTACTGGAAAAAAATCTTTCATTAAGGTTCTTGTCGCTAGAAAAAATTCTTTCATTAAGGTTCTTGTCGCTGGAAAAAAATCTTTCATTGAGGTTCTTATCGCTGGAAAAAATTCTTTCATTAAGATTCTTGTCACTAGAAAAAATTCTTTCATTAAGATTCTTGTCACTAGAAAAAATTCTTTCATTAAGGTTCTTGTCGCTGGAAAAAAATTCTTTCATTAAGGTTCTTGTCGCTGGAAAAAAAATCTTTCATTAAGATTCTTGTCGCTGGAAAAAATTCTTTCATTAAGGTTCTTGTCGCTGGAAAAAAAATCTTTCATTAAGATTCTTGTCGCTGGAAAAATATTTACACGGTGGTTGACTAAGTAAAATCGTCGATTTTATTGAAAGTTCCTCTACTGGAATTGTGTTTTGGTTTTGTGTTATGCTCCGTTGCTAACTTAATAGCCGCAGTATTTTAATCTCCATGTGGATAAAACATGTTTCGTTAAAACAACGTGCGTACAACACAGTTTGAAATTACTGGGAAGAACACTATGGAAAAAAAAACACAGAGCTTGTAAAAAAAACACCATGCATAAAACACCTTGCTTAACCATACTATGCAGAAAAACAGCGAGTAAACACCAACTGAGAGAACAATTGTTTATTTTTTTCCCTTGATTCTGCCAAACGCCAAACTCTACTTCACCAAGAAATCCTCAACAGACAACTGTCAACAAACTCAGCTCTACTTCATCTGCCGTACAATGCTCTGCTGCTGAGTTTAGCCCCGGCTCTTTTTTTTCTACAACTCATAACGTTCATCCCCAGAAGAATATTTATACTGACGCACAGAACTTTAAGTTATTAAGGAAAGGTGAATCCACTCCCGTCAACTGAACTGAGGGTAGGAAAGACTTGAGTGATAATAATAATAATAATAATAATAATAATAATAATAAATAATAATAATAATAATAATAATAATAATAATAATAATAATAATAATAATAATAATAATAATAATAATAATAATAATAATAATAATAATAATAATAATAATATAATAATAATAATAATAATAATAATAATAATAATAATAATAATAATAATAATAATAATCTTTATTTCTACAACAACGTATACAGACCATAGCTGACATCAGTGATATACTATATAGAAAGCCCCGGGTTATGCAGAGCATTTCGTGCAAATTAGGTTAATTTTGTCCCCAGGACTACCTGCGCCAGTAGGGATAATTAAGCTCTTGGAGAACAGAGATAATCAGGTTTGATTCGAGGAGGAGGAAGGTAGCTCTAAATCCTGGGATACAGAGCCCTTCAAGAGCATCGCTGCACCTCCCTCGAGGAATACCGGGGATCTACACTATCCCTCCCCACACAACATTCTTTTTCTTCATTCTGTTTATATGTAAAATGCAACGGTGCACATTCTTCGTTTGTATAAATTTGCTCTACTGTTTTTTTACAAATTCTTCTGTAGGCCTTTAAAAAAAATTGAAAGTTACGAAATATATGGTTACACACACACACACACACACACACACACACACATTTTTTTGAAAGTTTAAAGACACTACGGCAATATACATATATATATTATTATTATTATCACACTGGCCGATTCCCACCAAGGCAGGGTGGCCCGAAAAAGAAAAACTTTCACCATCATTCACTCCATCACTGTCTTGCCAGAAGGGTGCTTTACACTACAGTTTTTAAACTGCAACATTAACACCCCTCCTTCAGAGTGCAGGCACTGTACTTCCCATCTCCAGGACTCAAGTCCGGCCTGCCGGTTTCCCTGAACCCCTTCATAAATGTTACTTTGCTCACACTCCAACAGCACGTCAAATATTAAAAACCATTTGTCTCCATTCACTCCTATCAAACACGCTCACGCATGCCTGCTGGAAGTCCAAGCCCCTCGCACACAAAACCTCCTTTACCCCCTCCTTCCAACCTATCCTAGGCCGACCCCTACCCCGCCTTCCTTCCACTACAGACTGATACACTCTTGAAGTCATTCTGTTTCGCTCCATTCTCTCTACATGTCCGAACCACCTCAACAACCCTTCCTCAGCCCTCTGGACAACAGTTTTGGTAATCCTGCACCTCCTCCTAACTTCCAAACTACGAATTCTCTGCATTATATTCACACCACACATTGCCCTCAGACATGACATCTCCACTGCCTCCAGCCTTCTCCTCGCTGCAACATTCATCACCCACGCTTCACACCCATATAAGAGCGTTGGTAAAACTAGACTCTCATACATTCCCCTCTTTGCCTCCAAGGACAAAGTTCTTTGTCTCCACAACTCCTAAGTGCACCACTCACCCTTTTCCCCTCATCAATCTATGATTCACCTCATCTTTCATAGACCCATCCGCTGACACGTCCACTCCCAAATATCTGAATACATTCACCTCCTCCATACTC